TCTACCACTTGAGCTACAGCGCCACTTCTGGTTTTTTGGTGGTTTACTGGAGATAGGAGTCTTACGGTCTTTCCTGCCCGGGCTGGCTTTGAACCTCGATCCTCAGATCTCAGCCTCCTGAGTAGCTAGGATTACAGGCATGAGCCACCAGCGCCCGGCTAGCCAAGATGGGTTTAATAACCACTCACACAGAGAATTCTTATATGCACTAAATCTCTGAGAACCAGAAATGATCGTACTATAACATAGTTACAGCAAAATGGGTGTGTGTGGAGGGAACCTCAAAAAAGTCACAATTGACTGACACATAAGCATTCATGAAACAGTCCACTGAATCTCAGATGCTACACAAAGCAAATGGTAGGTGTTTCCTCAATTACAAGCGCCTGCAATTCATCTCCCTGGCTGGAAACATAAAACCGCTCGGTGAGGTTAGAATGGGAGCGGACTGATGGCCACCACTGACGCGTGTCCCCACTCTCCTTGCTTAAACCACAGCTGGACACCTGCTTTTTGGCCAAGTGCCTCTGGTTGAAATCGATGGAATGATGCTGACTCAGACCCGGGCCATCCTCAGCTACCTCGCTGCTAAGTACAACCTGTACGGGAAAGACCTGAAGGAGAGAGCCAGGTACCGGCTGTTACCCCAGCTGCTCTGCTCCTGCTCCAGCTGAGACCACTTCAGGCTGTCTTTCGGCCTGGATGGAAGGGAGGAAGGACAGACGCAAAAGGAGATGCTCTTGCTAGGCCTGACCGCCCTTGTGCGGGACTCTGAACTGGCAGTGGTCCGCTCCCGTGTCTGTATTCACTCCTCACAAAGCACCTTGAGGCACAGGGAGACTTGAAATCAGCAGCTCCTGGTATTGCTCACCTGGTTGTGACTCATCTGGGTGGTTGTTCGTGGTCAGGCTCGTGTCATGCTAACTGGATTCACTCAGTATGACCTCCAGTGACTGCCGGCGGCTCTGTGTTTCCGTATTAGCTGAAGTCCCCAGCGGCTGGACAGGAGTGGGCCCGGAGTCTCAGATCCTTAGCTAACCCGTTCTCACTCCAACGAGAAGGGCTCTGAGAGTGAGCGTGAAGGCCCAGGAGCCTCCTACACACATTGAAGGCTCCGAACTGGCCCATTGTGTCCACCTCCGTCCGTCCGTCCGTCAGAGCAAGTCACAGGGTCACCTTGGAAACAGGCCCTGTCTGAGGATAGAAAAGGTTGTCAGGTCAAATCACAAGTACTGGAGGATGAACAACTGTGCCTTTTTCTTCCTCCCTTCTTCCCTCCCTCCCTTCCTTCTTTTTCATGACTCTAAGAACGGCTGAGGACGCAGTACTCACCGATTCCTTCACATGTTCTTTCATTCAGTAAACATTTCCAGAGACCCTGCTATGGCCCTTGGCTAGATCTAGTTCCAGCATCACTTGGGGTGGGGGAGCTGAAGGGGTAGTTTGGAGGTGGCTCGCTGGTGCCATGTGCCCAGGAGTGTCGGATGAGGGAGCTGTGTAGTCATGGTCCCCTCGAGTGACCGTCTGAGGTGCCATTTCAGGATCGACATGTACACGGACGGCACCATGGATCTGATGCTAATGATTCTGGCGACTCCATTCAGTAGCCCGACGAACAAGGAGGGGAGCTATGCTACCATCGTCCAGAAAGCCAAAACCCGCTACTTCCCAGCCTTTGAAAAGGTAGGTGGCACTGGACTTCTTAAGATAAAGTGAGTTTAAAAGGGATTCTGTGAGAGGCAGATAGATGCGGTGGGGAAGAAGGGGGTCTGAGTTATTTCGACAATCCACAGTCTTAGGGCAGTAATGTCTCCTGCAGAACGACAGAAATCACTCCACTCCTCCCCTCCCAGAGTCGACCGCACGGTGCTTTCCAGGGACTTCCTCCCGGTTTCTGCCACGTAAAAAGAATTCTACTGAAGACTCTGCTGTCTATTATTTTATTATTTAGATGTTCAAAAGCAGAAGTCCTGCGAATCTATTGCTTGGAACGAACAACTGTCCACATTTGTCCTATGTTGCTTAAAACTTTTCTTTTCCTTGAAGCAAATCTGCAGAGAAAGAGAGAAAGAGGGGTGAATACACACCTTTGGAGTGTATTCAGATGTGATATCACTTACTCTCTCTTCATATATATATATATATGTAAAATATAATATATATAATATATAATAAAATTATATATATACAGTTCCATACTATATGTTTGTTCTGCAACTTGCTTTTTTTAGTCAACTCAAGTTTTTATACCATCTAGACAAATATATATATATATATATATATATAAGCAAACTTATATTTGCTTCAATTTTATTTTGTCTTCTCCTTACAAATACAAAGGGTTTTTCCCCACAAAGAGGCTTTTTTTTTTGTTTGTTTTAACTTTTCCTCTTTCTGTTTTAAGCCCTGTAGGATTGATCAGTTTTCTTTATTCCAACTTTTCTTCTACTTCTAATGATTCAGATGATAAATATTTCCTCCTTAAACTATTGATTTCTTTCTTTTCTTTTTTTTTGTCGGTCCTGGGGCTTGAACTCTGGGCTTGGGCGCTGTCCCTCAGCTCTTCAGCTCAAGGCTAGAGCTCTATCACTTGAGTCATAGTGCCACTTCCAGTTTTCTGAGTGGTTTTGGAGATAAGAGTCTCACGCACTTTCCTGCCTGGGCTGGCTTTGAACCACAATCCTCAGATTTCAGCCTCCTGAGTAGCTAGGATTACAGGCATGAGCCACCAGGTCCTGGCTTACACTATTGATTTCTATCTTCTTATTAATAAGACAAAGCTTCCTTTTACCTCCAAATATCTTTCTTCTTCCTCTTTTTATATTTATTTTTAAGTATTGTTTTAGGACCAAGTTGTTTTCATTTCCTCCTAGTTAGTTTTTTTTTTTTATTGTGAAAACACTGTACAGAGGGGTTACAATTACATGGGCAAGATAATGAGTACATTTCTTATCAAGCATTGTAGCCCCTAGTTAGTTTTTTTAAGTCATGTTGATTTATCAAGGTAAGAAACAGACTTTTTTTTTTACTCATTGGCTCCTTGATTCTGATGTCTTTCTTGTTTTCTTTCTTATTTTCCTTCCATATGCAGAAGTAAAGAAGAATGCACTCAATCTATAGCTCAAAATTCCCCCTTTGCTTGAATCTGTTGCCTCTGTCTTACAGGTGGGTTAGGTTTTTATCAGGGGGCTTAAGATCACAATGAGAAGAGAGCACGTGATCATGTTCCATCTCTTGGTATCAGTGATAGATTCAACCAGGTGTTTTTATCTTTGCCTTGGCTGTGAATCTCTAGAATTCACTGCTTTTATACATTCTCCATCTTTAGTGACATCTGTGTTCGTCCTTATGTGTATCACATGACAAGATGTAGTGCTCAAATTTACCTTTGCTCCTTATTGACGCATCTGTGACTCCAAGCTGCCCGGGAAGATTTTTATTTTTCAATTTGCTTTCCATTAGAGAGTGGACAGTTTGCTTCCTGTGTTGCTGTGTTCAGGCTTTGGCTGCCCTAGGAGTGACTCATTTCTATTTGTGATGTAGCAGCTGGACTCTTATGAATTGTAGATTTGGGCCTCCCTGCACTGGGGGGTATAATTTTTCTTACCCACCCCCCGTGCTTGTAATAAGACCTTTTGTCACCAACAGGACCTTGATAATCACTGACACATTTCCCAGCCCAGCGCACCACATCCATTTCATGTGATCCTTGCCAGCAGCAGAGATTATTGAGAAAAGGATTCTTTTGTAAATCTGATTGGAACCACAGATTTTTATGCTTTTATAAGTGTTTCGCCAGGCAAGATTGTTTTACTTCCACTCAACACTCTTCTTTCTTTTCCTCCCTGGAGGTTTTGAAAGGCCATGGAGAAGACTTCCTTGTTGGCAATGCATTCAGTTGGGCAGATGTACAGCTGTTTGAAGCCATTTTAATGGTGGAAGAACTGGACGCTGCTGTCCTGTCTGACTTCCCGCAGCTGAAGGTAAGGCATTACTCACGTCCACAGAGCCTGGAGCACAGCGATGACGACAGGGGCTGGAAGGAGGTGGCCTCTGTGTCCACCCAAACTTCAGAAGACTTCCCAAAGCCAGCCACTCTGGTTCTGGGCACTCTGGGTATCTTCTCATGCAGACACTGCAGGGTCTGTTAGGAAAATACAACTTTATGTGACCAGGAAAAGAAGCTACTTTGGTTTCTAGAAGGGACCTTTCGTGCTCTCCTTTTTTCTTTTTCCTTGAGTGCTCTCCGGCTCCTAGCAGGTGAGTCTGTGCACTTTTGGTCAGGTGATGCTGGGGCCCGCGGAGGAACCCCTGTCTGGTGGGGCTCCGGGGCCTACACAGACCTGACTGCTACCGGACTCCACTGTCCTCGGCTCTGACCTCTGAGGAACGCTTTATCTAAGAGGATGGAGTTTTTAGAAATTTTACTTTAACAATACATATATTTTTCCTTACCATGAAGGAAATGCAAGTTCAAATACCGTTATCTAAATCAAAGAAAAAGACCCATAATTCCACCTGCCAAATGCCACTGTAGTTTTTTCCCCTCCCAGAATAGGATTCTACTAAATATTGTTTTAGTGGTCTGCCTTGAACACTTTGATCAATGCCAGAAGTATATTTACATGTCAACAGATATTCTTCTGCAATATAATTTGTATTCTGTTTTCACTGGGTGATAGAATCACGTCTTTTTGGAAAACCAGTCATCTCAGCGGAGTGCGAGTTGAGTGATTCTAATCCCACCTCTGCCTGATGCCTTCCCTTCCATCCTCGCTTTTATTTCCACCTGTGCTTCGTGTATCATTTATACAGAAGCAAACAGGAATGTATATTCTTTTTTTTTCTTCTTCCAGTTGTGGGGCTTGAACTCTGGGCCTGGGCACTGTCCCTCAGCTCTTCAGCTCGAGGCTAGCGCTCTACCACTTGAGCCACAGCGCCACTTCCAGCTTTTCCTGTTTATGTGGTACTGACGAATCAAACCCAGGGCTTCATGCATGCTAGGCAAGCACTCTACCACTGAGCCACCTTCCCAGCCCTTAGGCTCTTTTTGATAAGGTAATTAATTTAACCTATGCTGAATGCACTGGCAATTGCATTACCCTCACCAGAAACATCCAACAAACACATTAAGAAAGCATCAGGTTCGGCACTGGGCTGTATCAAGAGATGGTTCGGGTACCTCCTTTTCATGGCAAGCTCCTGGTTCTCTGATTTGTGTGTGACCATGGGTATTAGTATTTATTTATTTTGTTTTTCATTTGGCCATGAAGGGGTTGGAACCAAGTCCTCATGCTTGCTAGTCAGGCGCACTAAAAGCTTGGGCCACATCCCCAGCATGGTTCTCCCTCTCTCTCTCTCTCTCTCTCTCTCTCTGTCCCCCACTCCCCACTCTTCCACTCTTCCTATAGGCATTTAAAGCAAGAGTGGGCAACATGCCTAACATGAAGAAGTTCCTGCAGCCTGGGAGCCAAAGGAAGCCTCCTGCCGATGACCACTATGTTAAAGTGGTCAGGGACGTCCTGCAGTTTTAATGGCCGCAGGTCTAAGGCTGGCAGGTGTCAACGCAGCCAGCACATGCCTGGGTGGTGCATTGCAGAACTAGACCACGGAGTAGATGAACGAGACCCACGCTGCCATCAGCAGCCAGTGCCTGTTCAACGCGATGTTCAACAGCAAATCCTCATTAAATGCTATGTGAAACCATTCTGGCTTATGGATTTTTTTTTGGCCCATCTGTTGATTATGGTAATCTACAACTTCTATGGAACCAGTGTTTTTCTTTATAAATTCAAGAGGAGGCAGAGGTTTAGTCCCGGCAGTGAGTGCCTGTCTCACCTTTCTTCATGTTTGCACCAAGGTAAGGCTTGCGGTGGGAGAGCGGCCGCAGGTTTGGGAGGCCAGGATTGCTAACACCAGCGCTGCTTTCTGAGGATTTGTGATTGGGGGAAAATGCGGCAAATGCCAAATTGGGAGTAGCTGAAATGATTTGGTGAGTGAGAAATGTGAAGGGGAATAATGGGGGATGACTGTCCAGGGAACAATATTTTGAAATCCAAACAACCAAAACCAAAACCAAAACCTCACCTTGGGTAATTAGGTAACATTTTGTTTTGTTTTGTTTTGTTTTGTCATGGGGCTTGAACTCTGGGCCTGGGCGCTGTCCCTCAGCTCTTCAGCTCAAGGCTAGTGTTCTACCACTTTGAGCCACAGTGCCACTTCTGGCTTTTTCTGCTTATGTGGTGCTGAGGAATCAAATCCAGGGCCTCATGCATGCAAGGCAAGCACTCTACTACTGAGCCACCTTCCCAGCCCCGATAACATTCTTATATTTAACAAAGCTACTAAAGATTGGGTTTTGCTTTGGTAAAATGATCCCACATAAAAGCTCAAGAGACCCTCATCTCAACAGAAAGTCGAGGGTGCTGGTGTGTGCCTCTCATCCCATCAATAGTAGGAGATGGGAAGACTGCAGTACCATTGAGCCCAAGCGAAAAGCAAAATTTTATGTTTAAATAACCAGAAAAAATAACTGGAGGCATGGTAAAGGTGGTACAGTGTTGTACCATAAATCAGATGCAAATCCAGTCATGAGAAAAACAGAGAAGCCACATTTTGAAAGGTCAAATTTTGGAGTCTTTATTAAAAGGCCAGAGACTGCATGGTAGACTCCTGTCTCAAAAACCAACAGCCAGAAAATACACTTAACAGTTAATTAAACACTGTTAGGAAACTGAGCCATGGAGCCCAGACAAGAAAGAATAAAAACAATACCAACAAGCCAGTGCAGCTCCGGTGGAGAGCTGAACTGAGACGCCATTGTGACCGGAGTAGAGACAAGCACAGAGACATGTGGCCAGGGGTAGTGACTCCTGAGCTGGTCTGGGCCTATAGGGTCAGGTCAGGGGGCAGGGGTCACAGGAACTTGAATCCCAGGCACCAGACTGACAGGTTTAGTAACCTATACCCAAGTCCTTGCCCTGCCTCTAGGGACTCAGGCACGCCCATACCTGGGAGAGGGGACCTTCCCTTCCCCCACCATGAAGACAAGATGCCAGACCCAACCAGCCACCACATGGCCAAGATGGCGCTGGCCAGACCTGATCGCCCTACTTCAACAGTACCTGTCTAACTAGTGCAAAGCCCCAAGTTCAAGTCCCAGTCTACCAAAACCAAATAACAAACCAAATAAAAAAAGAAATGAGGGGCTGGGGAGGTGGCTCAGTGGTAGAGTGCTTGCCTTGCATGCATGAGGCCCTGGGTTCGATTCCTCAGCACCACATAAGCAAAAAAAAAAGGAAAAAGCCGGAAGTGGCGCTGTGGCTCAAGTGGTAGAACGCTAGCCTTGAGCTGAATTGCTGAGGGACAGCACCCAGGCCCAGAGTTCAGGCCCCACAACCGGACCCCCCCCCAAAAAAAGAGACAATCCTAGAGCTCTACTCCAAAACTAGGTCTGATAAACACTTTAAAAAAATCAACATACAAGACTCAGTATGCCAACAACTAACAGGCTGAGAAAGAAATCAGAGCAATTCCATTCATGATAGACTAAAATGGTTACCTAGGAATAGATGTAAAAGGTGATCGACTTGTACAATGTAAACTATGAAACGCTGAAGAAGGAAATTGAAGAAGATACAAGAAGATAGAAAAGCCTCCTGTGTTCGTGGATTGGCAGAAGTAGTATTGTGAAAATGGTCATACTGCCAACGTCAATCTACACGTTCAATGCACTCTCCATCAAAATCCCAAATTGATGGCTTAGGAACACAAAAATTACCCTTACAGAAAATACACCAAGGCTAATGAATCGGTTAGCCAATTTTTATATAGAAATATTCCTTGGCTGTAGCTTCATCTCTCCTTCCCCCAGGCCCTGGAGGCTCCATTCTGTCTGCATGAATTTGTCTGGCCTAGATATGTAAGTAGAATGACACGTTTCTGTTTCTGTGTCAGGTTTATTTTTACCATAATGTTTCCAACACTCCTGCATGGTGTAGCCTTGTCAGAATTTTATTCCTTTCTTTCAAGCTGTCTTTTGTCGTTGGAATGCCGTTCGGTCCTCTCTCGTGTGATAGCCACAGGCACTTTCTGCAGTCCTGGGCCAGGCCCTGCCACGCTGACCCAGCCCTGGGTTTGATGACCCAACAAGATGCCGCCACCTTTGTCTGAGAAGAGCACGCTTGTGGTCCTGTTCTTTCTGTTTTCCCTAGCTGCGACTCTGTTCACCTTGATTGTTAGTCATCAGTTCTCTGCACAATACGTACTTTGTATCTCATACTTGTCTGTGATAAAAAAAAAGCATTATCCCTTCTGGACAGAAGTTTAGGTATCAAGAAATAGGTGCAGCTGTATCAAGGGTCTAGAGTCTTTGGTACTGAAATTGCATCACACAGAGACCGAAGAAGACAAAGGTCAAAGCAGCAGAGTAACGGTTAGAGACCAGGCTGGTGCCCAGGGCGCTTACCTTTCGCATATGACCCAACCCTTTCAGCAGCCCTTCCAGAGACATATGATCATGAGTTGAGGAAAACTGAGGTCCTGAGAAGCCAGGAGACCTGGGTTCCCAGAGATGGAGCCAGGGCTGGGGCAGGAAGCCAGGCCGCTCCTGCCAGGCCCTACCACGGTCCTCTGCCAAGGCTAAGAGCAAACACTTAACAGAGCTCAAGACTTGCCAACGATCCGGACGCGGGCCAGAGGAGGCCGCGTTTCCCAGGGTGCCTGGTGATTGTGTGAGGGAATCTGGTCCCCTGGGGAGCTCCTGTTCCAGCCTCTCAGTGACAGCACCCCAAAAACCCAGGCTGGCCATGGGGCCCGGGGGGGGGGAGAGCGGTTGCCTGTGCAGTGGAGTTGTCAGCAGGGAATGTGGGTGTCTGACCTCATCCTCACAGCACCCCCAGGACTGCGGGGACTCAGGATGGCTTCCTGGTCAGGTTTCTAAGCAGCAGAGGTGGCCGCCATTCCAGCAGGCCTGGAGACCACTGGCTTCCTGCCCCCCTCCCCCACTTTCTCCACACCTGCCTCAGTGCCCTCCTCCCGGCCTGCCCCGTTCTTTCTGAGCTACAAGCCTACAGGTGACTGTTGTTGGAGTGCTTTGTCTCCTCCAAGATTCCTGCCTGTTAATTTCATACCCGTTAATCTTCACAACCACTTCCTGGGGTAGGGCCCAAGAAAGTTCAGTAACTTCCACACTCTTAGTCTGAGCAGATACTTTAAAGGTGGCCCCAGGTCTGCCCATCCCCATTGTAAAGAGATAGCAGAGGGAGGAAAAGAGGAGGGAAAAACGGGAAAACCAGGAAGCCAGACCAGTGGAAAGGGAAGGGTAGAGAGAGCTCAAGTTTCAATCTAAGACTATGACCTGACCACAGGGCTGTAATTAATATTTAAACCTACTGCTGTTTCTCAGGAGTCCACATTACCCTCCCTCCCATTTCCCTTTACAATTGCCAAAGAATCCAGTAAATCTAGTTAATGCCATTGCTTTTCTTATCAGGTCTTTGTGGTCAAATTTGAAACTATGATTCAATTGCACTTGAAGCCCAGCGGCCTCCCAGAGAACAGTTGTACTGAGTGAGAGCACTCGGCCACGCGTGAAGCATGCACACGGACGGGGGAATTTCAGAACTGGAAAATACCAGTTAGCGAATCAGAAGTGCATCTGCTAAAGAGGAAGGCCAGCGCCGGCCTCTCCTAGCGGGTGGGAGTGCGTGAGGTTTTCAGTGTAGAAGGTTAATATCCGCCAAGCCATTTCTACAACTTTGTCTTCTGTTTGATCTATTTGATTTACAGGTGGCACACCCCAGGAATCACTGCCTCTCGAGAGGTGGAGGCTGAAAGACCACAGGTTCAAGAACAGGCTGGGCAAAAGTTAGTGAAACCTGCATCTGAAACACAAACTATGAACAAAAGGTCCAGGGGCATGATTCATGCAGTATATACGCCCTGGGTGTAATCTCTATGGAGAAACAGAGGGAGGGAGGGAGGGAGGGAAGGAGGGAGGGAAGGAGGGAGGGAGGGAGGGAAGGAGGGAAGGAAGGTACTCTTCAAATGTCTGACTTATCTTTAGATGGTAAAGGGAGAAAAGACCTAAAGCTCCATGAACAGTACCTGGACATGCCTTGTGCTAAAAGCCAGCAAGAGCCGCCGCTGGCTGGCCAGTCAGAGGAGAAGCTGTGCATGTTTGCCTCTGCACACAAGCACCTCTGTGCCATCTGGGCCAAAGCCTTCATCGAGAGAGAGTGCCTGGCTCTCAACTGCTGGTTTACGTTTACGTGCTGTGGTGCTGGGGAGAACATGGGAGCCCCTGGGAACCCTCCATCTCCCCCCACACACCCGCCCCACCCCGCCATCTCCCCCACAGGCCCCTCCCTCGTCTGGCTTTGGCTGAAGTCTCTCACTTGCTTGCAGGACTGGCAGGAATTCTCCACGCTCTCCAACCCCGCGTCATGGATGGCTCTTGGTCTTCCTTACAGGGTGGGAGCTGAAGGACGATGAACATTAGAATCAAGTTTGGCCTCCGGACGTCCTGGGCGGGCCCGGCCAGTGCCCGGTGAGGAAGCCTAGTCTTTACATAATCTGAGCTTCTGAACGGTATCTACCCAAAGAAGATGGGCGCGCTTTGCCCGCAGAGATGGTATGGTGTCTGCAGAGAGCTCAGCTCATCCTTAGCCGCTTGGTAACCGGGTGCTTGGGAGCCCGGCAGG